AAGAAGTTTTCTGCCATATAACTTTAAGAAAACTTTTGCTCCTTTTCTCTTTTTCTCCTTCTTTAAATTCCTTAATGCTAAAGTTAACTATCTAAATGCTGCCCATAAATTCCACAGGCTTTCTTCATTTTCTTACTATTTTAATTATTTTTCTTTTCTGATTGTAGTTTTTCAAATAACCTGATTTCAGATTTGCAGATTTTTATGTTTAATCAGTTCTGCTGGTGACATTCTCCACTGCATTTTTAAATTTTATGCATTGTATTCTTCAGTTTCAGAATTTATGATTATTTAAACTTTCTTGTTTTATCTATTATTTTTCTGATTTCATGTAGTTGTGTCTCTGTGTTCTCCTATAATTTGCTGAGTCTCTTTAAAACAATTATTTTGAATTCTTTGTCAGGAAATGTATAGATTCCACTTCTTTGGGATTTGTTGCTGAGGAATTATTGTCTTGGTGGTAATATGTTTCCTTGGTTTTTCATATAGGCTATTGTATTACACTGATGTCTACATATTTGGTGAAACAGTCACCTCTTCCAGACTTTATCAAGTGGTTTTGGTAGGAAAAGGCCTTTCCTTATGGGAGAGGTCTAGGGCTCCGGCTGGGAGGTGTGTGACAGTTTGGGCTCTGATAATGGTGTTGTGGCATAGTCTTTGTACTGTTTCAGTTTAGATTGGCATCAGTAACAATTTCAGATATTCTCAGCAGCCAAGACTGTATGTGTCAATAGGAACAGCAAGGGCTTTTAGGTTCTTCAGTGGTGAGGGCTACTGGGGTCCTCCAAACTCTTTTTGTCCCACTAGGAAGTCATGGCTGAGAGCTTAACTTGGCACAGGCTCTGGTCCATGAGTGTGCTTGCAGTTGTGTGTGAGGTGCAGATGTCTGCGAAGCAGCTGGGAATCTGGGGTCTGAGGTGCAAGCACGCGCAGAGCTACAATGGCTCTAGCCTCTAAGCTCTCAGCTCACTATTGCAGGAGAACTGGTGCTTGGAGTGTGCATGCACACATAGCAACTGAGGCTCTCAGTGGGAGGTGGGCCTGGGTTGTAATAGCGGTGGTTCTAGTGTTTGAGGCATGTGCAGTGTTGGAAGAGGTGGTGGCTTCGGTTGCAGGTTAGCACAACAGTGGCTTCTTCTTGTAGGGGTGACAGAGAGGTGTATTTCTCTCTGTTGATTCCATGGTGGGGATCGTTGTTGGTTACCTCAATGGTAAAATATGTCATTGTTCTCTGCAGTGCAGGTTGCTGGGGACCATGGTGGTACCCATTACATGACATAGTTGATAATGATAGCTCCTGCCCTTCTTCTTTGTTCCTAGCCATCTCCAGATATCTCAGGTATATACATTTCTCCAGCAGCCTTTTCTTTGTGGTTGTTTCCTCCTCTTACCCCCTTTTGTTTCCCTGTGTTGCTGTAGGTTTTTAAATGATCCCTTGAGTCTTCCTAAGACTATTATCTCCCATGGATAATCATTGTTTTGTTGTTGTTGCTGTTTTTTGTGAGGGAAAGAGGCTTGATTCTCTTATTATGTTATCTTGTTGATGTCACTCTATCTCTGTTTTATTTTGTTCAGGTTTTATTTGAGAAGGATACTGAAAAGGAAACTGCCAAGGAAGAGGACTGCCTATGAAAAAGTCATACTGACCTCTTTTAGATTCTGCTAACTTCCTTGAAACTTAGGTCTTTTACTACATACTTTTCGTTTTGCTTGTAATGATTTTTTTTTCCATGCTGGTTCTTTGTCGTTTTAAAATTTGGATGAAATATTAGCTTTCCTGATAAAAAATTCTGACCAATGAATATAAAATAAAGTTCGTCTCTTTTTGTTAATAGTTATATGCTGATTCTACACACACACACACACACACACACACACACACACACACACATATGCATCTTACATATATTTATGCTTCTTAGGGTGTTTACTTGCTTAATGTCTGTCTTATTCGGCAGACTTAAGCACCATGAGTACACTAATGATGTTTATTTTGCATGGGTCTGTGCTCCCAGGTCTGATCACTATGGCTAAAACTCATTTGGGATCAATAAACAGTTGAATTAATTAATATTTCTTCTCAATTTTTCAAACATTTAAGGTGAATTAAAGGAAGCACTAATTCCTGAAGTTCATTTGCCTTATTTAATGTCAGAACCTGTATCCCTATATATTAATATTTGCGTCAGGTTGAGGTCGCCGTGGCTTGATTTATACATTTTCAAAGAGAATTACTGAAAGCAACATAAATACACTCATGATCTCCCACAACAAGTAGAACTAGATCCCACAACAAGCAGAGCTTAATCACCCGGTTCCTTGTTATGTGAAAGACAGTGTTTTGTAGCCCTAATGGTATGTGTGTCTCCTGAGAGCTTCATGACTATGTAATTACCTCTTGGTTCCCATCTTTTAAGTGCCCATGATTCCATCTGGTTTCATATTAGAGGGAACAGTCCAAGAACCAGAATCACTTGGGCCATTCATTTATTCATTTGATTGTTAATAATCAGCTAACAGCAACAGTGACCTTCCCCCAAACTGATATATTACTGAGATCCTACAAGAATGTCTAGGGGGATAAAAAATCTCAATAAGAGTAAAGTTGATTTTGGTTATGGATATTATCCCTTATAAAGTATAAGGCATTATAGGAATTCTATAATTCTCTTTTCATAGCAGGACTCTTCAGGCTGGATGCTGTTGGGGCTACCTTTTATTATTTCCTTTTTATAGATTAAGATACTGAGGGTTAAGCAACTTATCTAAGAAGAAAGATCAGCAAATATAGGAGTAGTGCTCCTGTTAACTAATTCCAAAGTCAGTAGCATTTTTTCCCCTTCAATTTCTCCCTGCTTTGAGAAAACATTAAGACTTTGGCCAAATACTAAAAAGAGTTTCCAAGAAAAACGTTTTCCTTTTGTCAAGGACTAATTTTCTGATTTGAGATACACTCACATACAAAGTTGCTGGATTTGCATGCTGTATGGCTCACAGAGAAAGGTAAGCTTCTAGATCAAATCTATTGTCTGCATAAAGTTGAAGGAGCAGAAGTAACAAGCAAAATGCATTGAAATACCCATTTCTCCTTTGGCTTATTCAGAAATTTGGCTTGAATATCTTGAATATTTCTTTTATCTGTTGCATACATCCAGAGGCTATAGAGTTTTGAGTATCTCATGTCTGAAATAGTTGGGGTAATAAGTGTTTGGAATTTTTTATTTTTTTGAATTTTAAAACATTTGCATACACATAATGAAATAACTTGGGAATGAAACCCAAGTCTAAACACAAAATTTATTTATGTTTCATATATACCTTATACAAATAGCCTAAGGTAAGTTTATAGAATAATTTTGTGCGTGAAACAAAGTTTGTGTTAAGTACTTATGTATGGAATTTTATACTTGTGGCATCATATTGCTGCTCAAAAAGTTTTGGACTTTGGAGCATTTTGGGTTTTGAATTTTTAGATTAAGGATGCTCAACCTGTATGTCTAAACACTAATGAGCTCCTATTAGAACATGTATACTTATATTGCATAAAGAAAGGTTACAAGAAGGGCTTGAGTCCCTGTTTTGCAAAGTATAAGCTTGTATTACTTCAAACAAGTTATTTAAACTATTTATTTCTGTTTTCTTTTTCAGGGAATATGATAATATTAGTTATCTTGACTAGTCTTAGAATTGTTGAGAGAATCAAATGGGGTATCAACATAAAACTTCATTGTTGTCTGGAAACCCATAATAATATATTTAAAAAGGAAACAGAAGGAATGGTGATTCATACATGAGGAAGAAATCAGGCTTAAACCCCCATTACAAAATTCACTATTATGAAGATGCATAAAAATTACATCACACAACTTTCTGTTGGAGTGGGAACTGATCTCAAGTTCTAATTTTGCCACTAAAGAATTACCTGATGTTAAACACACAATTTATTAATGACTATGTCATGGCCTGACTGATGGACTACAGGGTAAATGAGATCAACAACCACTACACCATTCTGAGCAAATGAGAAAACAATGCTCTCTTCTTGGGAATGGAGAATAAGAATATTCTGATCTAAACATAATATTCATCAGTTTAGATGTCTGCCTCACAAAGTGTCCTGAGGTCGGGGGATGTATCTTGTGCATCAGTGTAATCTTTGCAATCAGTATGCAACCTGGTGCATCATACGAAATTAGTGTGTGTAGCGAGAATGAAGGACAGAACAATATCCTGAACTTTATTTGGCTTATTGAATCGTACTATTAAAAAGTCACATTCTTTTTTTTTTTTAACTTTTTGAAAATTTGTAAGGGGTTGGAAGTAGTTATAAGCATTTGTGGGCCCAGTTCTTGTCATTCAACTGATATCTGGGAATGTAGGTTATTAGTACAAAACCAAGCAAACTGGTGAGTCTGTGTGATTCCTAATTTCATGTTTTCCAGATGTTCACATTGACATCCAGTGATAGGTTTAACCACTCAATCAGTCATTCAATCAGTTAATTAATTGAGTTACTATCTTGTGCCCCACTTAGGTTAAAAGTAAAAGGTTGAAAGAATATTAAATATTCTTTTATGAGTATTTATGACAAAGAGGTAAGACAGATTCAAAATGACTCGGCTTCACATTTTACCTGTTTTAGTGAGTAGCCTGTTTATCTTGTATGAATCTTTTCTATTCTGTACCTTAGTTCAGTAATCTATGAAATTAGGAGATTGGGATGCATTATCTCCAAAACCCTTTTATTAAGCAAGATTGGGGGTGTTCAAGGTGATACAGTCATAAACCGAAATCTTTTTTTACTAAGGGCACACTATTCATAATTTAAAGTTGCATTTTGTTGTGATGGGCATGTTTTGGATCCAGGATTCCTGGAAACAAGTAATCGCAATACTGAAATAAGGCACATATGGACATGCTGACTCTTCTCAGCAGTCCTCCCTCTGTTTATCGTTCTGATTTTGTCTCCTTTTTGCTACAGGGAAGCCTCATCATTCCTGATGGAGAACGATACAGAGGTGACTGAGTTCATTCTTGTGGGGTTAACCGATGATCCAGACCTTCAGATCCCACTCTTTATCATCTTTTTGTTCATCTACCTCATCACTCTGGTTGGGAACCTGGGGATAATTGGGCTGATTCTATTGGACTCTCATCTCCACACCCCCATGTACTTTTTCCTCAGTAATCTCTCCTTGGTGGACTTTGGTTATTCCTCAGCTGTCACTCCCAAGGTGATGGCAGGATTCTTAACAGGAGACAAAGTTGTGTCATACAATGCTTGTGTTACCCAGTTCTTCTTCTTTATAGCCTTTATCACTGTAGAAAGCTTCCTCTTGGCATTAATGGCCTATGATCACTATGTAGCAGTGGGTACACCGCTGCATTATACTACCACCATGACGACAACTGTATGTGCTTCTCTGGCCATAGGCTCCTATGTCTGTGGTTTCCTGAATGCCTCCAACCATACTGCGAACACTTTCAGGCTTTCTTTCTGTAGGTCCAATATAGTTGATCACTTTTTCTGTGATGCTCCTCCTCTCCTGTCTCTCTCATGTTCAGACACCTACATCAGTGAGATGGTTGCTTTTTTGTGGTGGGATTCAATGTTCTCTTTTCTATCCTGGTAATCTTGATTTCCTACCTGTTTATATTTATCACCATCTGAAGGGCGCCAGAAGGCCTTTTCCACCTGTACTTCCCACCTCACAGCAGTTTCCATCTTCTATGGTGAAAGATGGTGGCGCGCAGTGAGACTCAACACCCTTTAAGGCCAAGAGATTTAATGGGGATGAGCGCATGGCTACAGAACCTGAGAATCAGATTGCAGCATGGAGGCAGGGGTATGGCAGGTTTTATAGAAATTTAAAGCGACCTGTCGATTACCTATTGGTCGGCAGGTAAGGTATTTGGGGATTGGCAGGGGCTTTCGTGGGTGCGGGAATGGTGGGCTTTGTTGTGGAAGAACCCGGAAGGCCTTGTCCGAGCCTCCATGTTAGTTTGTCCGGGCGCCTTCTTAGGCGGGAGCGCCATTTTAGGTGGGGGCCACGCCTAGGCTTAGCCTTTGGAGGGGGCGTGTTCCTCGTGGCTGGCTGGGGCCTTTCATTCCCACCTCTTTGGTTAAGTGATAAAGGGGTGGAGTTGATCGGTCTGGCTACTTCCTGCTGGCGGAGGGCATTGTTGGGTGAGGTGGGTGAAAGAACCAGCCACATGAGGCCCCATAAGAAGGCACTGAAAGAAAAAATTTCGCTGGGGTGGAAGTCTTGGAAGGTGCCCTGGAGGTAGAGGAATGCAAGTTGGTCCAGCCAGTCGTCAAGTGGACACGGGAAAGGGAGGAGCCATTTGTCACGAAGAAGATGGTCAAGGAACGCTGAAAACCTGAGTTGGAGGTAATAAGGCCTGAAAGTCATATCTGTAATGAAAAATGGGGCGAGAAGGTTTAGGAGGCAGTAAGGCTTGGGTTGTTGAGGCCTGGGTCCTCGGTGGGTAGGAGGTTGTAACTCTGTAAAAGAAACTGGTTAATGGTTTGATTTGGAATTTTTTGGAATTGAGATTGAAAAAAATTTATAATGCAAGGGAGAAAGGAACACAGGCCGAGAAGGAGAACGACTGGAGTAACGATAGGAAGAAGCCACGTGAGGAGGGAGTTTGGAAACCAACTGTTAATTTGAGTCAATGAGCCTTGATTCATTGACATAATAGCAGCATTCTTCCTGGAGAAAGAGGCAGGTGCCTCCTTTTTCGACTGTTAAGACGTCTAGGGCTCTACGGTTTTGGAGGGTTACCTGTGCTAAGCTAGTTATTTGTCTTCGTAGTGACCCGATGGATTCTGAGGTGGTGTCTAGCGCCATCTGGATTTTGTTTTGTAGGTCTTCTACTGCCCATAGTGAGTAGCTGAGAGCTCCTCCCGCCAGGCCGAGGGAGGTGAAAGCAGATGCGAGGGACAATCCAACCATAACCGGGAGGAAGACGGCCCTTTTGTGTGAATGCCTGGGGGTTAAAAGTGTCTGGAGGTCGGTCATGGAGTATAAAGAGAGCTGAGGGACCAACGTGACAATTATGCAGGGATGAGTTAGGTTTGAAACTCGGGAGAGGAGGCTGCCATTGCACCACAAAAATAGGCCAGGCAGCAGGAAGTGGGCCTCTGTGAGGTTTGTGTAGGCCGAACAAAGAGTGTTGTTATAGGGGGCATGTGGCGAGTTGATACAGAGGTAGGAGGAATTAGAGGCTATTTCCCAGGGGGGTACATGGGGTTTGACTATAATTTCCCCATGGACGGACGTGTTGAGAGTGTAGTTGGGAAAAGCTGGAAGGGGAATGGCTGCTGGTAAGGGTCACTGTAAAGAGGCACAGAAGAAGCATTGTGAAGAAGGGAGGTCAGGGAATGTTTGATTTAGGAACCGTAGAGTGTGTTCTAGGATGGTGAGCCAAGAGGGAAGGTGTTGAGAGGGCCGTGAAGAGAGGTGGTCTTCTGAGGAAGGGAGTAAGGGCTGAATGGCCTCTTTGAGTTGTTGTTCCTGATTTTTTACGTGCTGCATGATAGAAACTTTAACGGAAGGAGTGAAGGTGGAGCGTGAAATGGACAAGAGACTGGTGGCTGTGTGGTAGTTGTCAGCGGGGTAGACCCCAATGTATCTGAGAGCATTCCAAAAAGGATTGTGAGGATCTGGAATTTTAAAGACATAGTGGAAAAAGCGGGGACCTCGGCGCACCAGGTACCGGACCCCAGTCCAGCATAGTCTAAGAATGGTGGGTTACCAGCGTCTGTGGCTCGTTTTGGGAGATAATATATAGGGATTAAATAGGAGGGAGTGTTGGTATGTCTGGCCAGGTCAGGGTTGGAGAAATGGATTTTACATAACCAGTAGGGGCAACCTCTATAGAGATCTGCCCATTTTTTGCAGTTCGGATCGGTTTGGTCATCTACTAGGCAGACATATGCATCAAGTGCGATACCCGGGTCATCGAGTGCGTGTACCTTTTCCAGAGAAAGAGAAATGGATGTGCAGTTGTCAATGAGGCACGATTGTATATCTAAGTCTTTTACCTGGGAAATACCATTTAAAGTATAGAGTTCACGGATGGTGAAGCGGTAATGGAGGCCAGACGGTGAGGGGTGGCTTGCCTTGAGAGCGGGAGGGAGGAGGGAAGTAAGGAGGATTAGGGGTGAAAGTTGAGCCATTGAGATAAGGAAGG